GCTCAAAAAAAAAATCCAATGGAAAATTCCCTTCTTTGCTTTCACAAAGCATTGACAAAAGTATAAAAATATCTTATCAATGAACTTAAGTAATTATTAACCACCCAGTTTTTTGGCTATAAATGCCAAATAACTGATTTGATTGATTTTATAACCAACTTATTCTATTTTTTTAAATTACAAAACATGCATCTTAATCAATGAGTCACAAAACAATTTGCCCCCTATTTCAATAGTTGCCCACTCTTGGTACAGCACCTGCATTTATGCACACCACGGTTCCTAACATCTTATCAATAATCAGTCCTCCAGAGTTGGCAGAATCTTGATATGGTCAAGGTCAGTCTTTTGAAAATTCAAAAACAAATGATTTAAAATGTCTTTTCAGCATGTTGTTATTATAAAAGAAACAACTCATTATTATACTTTTCTTCCCTCTCTGAAACTATATTATTGTATTATTCTAGAGTACAGTTTTAATTTTAATACAGAACTTTTACTTTGCTTTATAAGACCAATTGAAACAATCTGAATTTTTTTCCTTCCTACTTCTGTAGCTTATTATGAATCACTTTTTCTTTAAAATTATCCAAAAGATTCATATTTTTAAATATTTCAGATAAATATGAGCACACTTCATTTCCATAGTAGGATAGCATGTAGCCAGGATTATCTCATTTTCTTTAAGGCAGCAATAAAGAAGTTAATTCATAGCTGCATTTATGAGTGAGTTTTATTTATTTTTGACCTGTGGTAAAAAGATTTATCTTTCAATTATGAAACTATTTTTCCCAAGTGTCAAGAAGTCATACTAGTATAAAATAGCTTAATGTAGCTATAAAAGTAGTTTTTAAGTAAGTTTGTAATTAAAAATAGGTTAGTAAGTTAAAAATCATATTTAATCATTGGAACTACCAGATGGAATAGTAAAAGAATGGGGTTGGGGAAGCGGGGGGAGAAGAGAAAGAAAGGAGAGAGATTGAGATTGATTTTGAGATCGGTCAGGCTACACACATCACCAATTTTTTTTTGCATTCTGGCATAATAATATTTAAAAGATCCGGAGAAGCAGAACACCAATCCGTTTTCCCTTACTTTAAAGATCTAAATGATCATAATTTTTAAAAGTCTTCCTGGGTACATCAGGAGTATTATTTAAAAGCCGTGCGGTAGGGTGTGAAATAAGAGTATTCTTCAAACAAACACGACCTTTTCTGTTTCTTGTACTGCTCTTCTCAACCCAGCCAAAAAACCCAGACAAGTTTATTTACACACACACCCGCACACGCACACACACACACCCCACACGTAGAGAGAGAGAGGGGGGGGCGGAAACGCCCTCTTTCCATCCCTTCCAAACAATTATCTCCGAGAGCAAAAGAAAATAATCAACAGCCCTCTGTGCTGGGCTGGGCGGCTGAGCCGGAGAGCGGGGCGCCAGGAGGGAGGGCGATCTGCAGGCGAGCCGGGAAACGTGGCTCCTCCGGCGAGGAGAGGATTTGTGAAGGGGAGCGCCGGCCCGCGTGCGCCTCTTGTTCCCCGTGTAATTTGCAGCCAATCATCAGTAGGTGTCCGCGTCGCTGCGTCCTCCTCACCTCGGCGCCGATCACCCCCCCGCCCCCTATATGGAAAAACCAACCACTGAAACCCAAGGAAGATATCCCAGAAGTATCCACCAAACAAAACCTGTAGCTCTAAGTCGTTGATTTTTCAATAATTTCTATATCAGATCTAAGTGAGGTTCTTCCTGGACTGGAAATTTAAGAAACAAAAAGAGAGAGAGAAGGAGGGAGGGAAGGGGAAGGAGAGAGATAGAGAGGTAGAGAGAGAGAGAGAGAGAGAAGGGGGGTAGAGGGAGAGAGAAGAGACCGAGAGAGAGGAGAGACTCCCCGGCTCCCTCCCACCCTCGCACACAGCGACTGGAGACGGACGGAGAGCAACGCGCTGGGAGAGGAGAGACCACCGAGAACAGCCCCGCGCTCTCACACATACACTCACACTCGGCTCTTTGCTCTCCCCCCACCTCCTCCTCCTTCCACCCCCACCACTAACACCATCTCCTCCTCCTTCTCTCTGCAACAAGAAAAAAAAAAGCCATTTACAGGTATTTTTTTTTTGATCCGCATATTTATTTATCCCCCCGTCCCCAACAGTTTGTTTACAAGTATTAAAGTTGTAATTGGGAGCTGCCAAGACACATCTGGATTTGTGTTTCTTTGTGTTAGGGGGTGATGTGCAACTAATTAAAGGCAGACTGGCAGCGTCTGCAAATTCTAAGGCTCCCCAAATAAAAAGAGACTGGTAAGTGATTGTTCTTTCTCTTTCTCTGGCTTTTTGCTCTTAAATGTTTGCTGTCCGTTGGGATTGTAAAAGTAGATTATTAATGCTGGACTCCAGCGATAAAAGGCGTCGCTGTATTAATTTATTAATTAATCTGCACCCACCCCTCCTCCTGAATGTTAAATATGACCTTTGATCTCTATGTCTCTGGTAGACCAGACATACAATATTAGGCATGTACAGTCACATTGTTTAAAGGCAAAACAGGATCATGAAGTATGGATGTCTAATTTAGCTTTGGAATAGGACTGTAGTTATTTGTGTCTGTTTTATTTCGTTTTTTAAAGAAAATCCAAACAATAGCTGTGGTTTAGGTACCTTTTTCATGCTCCAAGATGCATTGATTAAACAATAATGACCTGGATGCTGGGCACAATCATTTTCTACAGTTTCTGGTGGCATTAAACCTTGAGGAGGGAAGGGGGAGGAGATGGTAATAAGGAAAGCTTCTTTTTGGAGACACCACTCTGATACTCGGAAAAAGGGACATTAAATTATTTCTTTATTTGGAACAAGGTCAAAAGACTAAAACGTTGACATTTTTCCCTCCACTCAGTGTGCTGGTATCTAATGCATGGTTGGCATAACTAGTTTTTACTGAGTAGTAGTTATTATGGTCTTGCAGTTACAATGTGATTCGCAGAAACTGAAGCTATATGCATATTCTTGCTGTGTCTTCCCCCACCCCCTTCCCAGCATCAAGAATATTTAGCCAGGAGCATTTTGGGGGCACCCTTTGTATTGCCTTCAGACCTCTGAAGGGAGCAGTTTTCCCTAATGCGAAACCACAGAGGTGGTTCCTGAATGATTAGGGACTTGCTGTGATTGAAAGATGCCTGCTAGCTTCTAATCCAGCCTGGGGTGAGGTTCCTTATCTTGATTTACTTTGCTTAATAGGGATTTGTTTACATAAACCCCTCTTTTTAGGGCACCTCATCATCAGGTCTTGAAGTTTTTGCACTTGGAGTTTGGGCATAAATGGTTCATTAATCTAATTATAAGCATAATTGCTATAATTGATATCCATTTTGAACTCAATATTTGAGACAGACTACTGGGCCCCCATTTAAAATTCCCTGAACTCCACATTCTAGACCAATATGTGGGCTTCAGAAGATGTCACAAAAAGATATTCTGCACCCCCCCCAAAAAATCTGGAAACAAAGAAACTGGTTTTTTAGGTTAATATACACTTTATGTTTTTGCTTTACTTCTCAAAAGGCTGTGATGTACCTCTCCCTCTGTGATAAACAACTAAAATACCTCTTCCTAAGCATAATAATGGCCTGTAAGCAAAAAGATGAAGGCAAATACCCAGTTAACATTAAACTTTCCTATAGAACAGAGCAAAAGAAAAAAAAATCATTTTAATGATTATTTCTTCATGGAACACCTTAAATGATTCCCCCCTACTTTTACTCAATGTAAAAAAATCAGTGACTGTGAGAGATCCTCAAAAAGTCCATGCTTTCCTCTTGTCTTGGGAATAGACTGGAGTCTCCATTAGGAATTATTGGGAATGTTCTTACACAGACTGCAGGCACTTGGTTTAAAACCTTTGACATTTTTTTGTATTATTAGAAAAAAATTTTAATCGAGTCCATCTTTCTTTTCTTTCTTTTAAACAAGTAGAACACCACCCTCTTACCCCCTCCAAGCCCCACCACCAAATGGCTTGTACAATTGAGACCCGTCCTTGGTCCATTGAATTAAGACCCTAACAGAGCCAGCTGTGCTGGGATTCAAACTAATGACCGCAGACACACAAGGACACTGTGGCAGCTGGTAGTTCTTTTCTCCCTGCCTCTTTAGTTCAGATTGTATGTGGGCAGTCTCTTAGCTCTCAGTTGTATTGTGTTTGCTTACAGTTTATACTCGGATGTATTGCAGACTTTCTCAGTACTTACTTCATTTGCTAATTTCCTGCTCATTTTCCTCATAGGGCCATAGCAGTTTTCTACTTTAGAGCATTTGCATGCCCAGGCAGCACTTGTTCATACATTTCAAAATGTTTAAATGCCCTCTGCTTATAGGTAGTATCGCCCTCCCACCCCTGATTTGCATGTCTTTAAGCACTCCAATTGCCCTTTTCCCTCGGCATTTGTCACCCCTGTCTTTCCTCTTTCC